TAGATAAAATTTGAGTAGCTAAAAATTGTATCTTTACTTTAGAAACAACCTTTTCTCTCTTAACATTCAAAGACATTAGTAGTCAACCTTCCTTCTCTGACTTGTCTTTTATTCCTAACCTTCTGGCAGGCACTGAAAATTCCTCTCTGATTCTACTTCTGAAAGAACTTATTTCCAAGAGGGCCCCAGTTTCAGAACTGTCACAGGAAGAGGTGCCCTTGGGAAAGAAATGAGTAATTGATTACATGCAAAATCCTTCATAATACATCAGGCTTTGGAGAGCTCCTTTCAGTAGCAATCCACCTCCTTCTAGATTGAAGTGTTCCTCTGTAGAACATTATCTCCTTGCCAGAGAAGGGGAATCAACAAATCCTAGCTCTAAAGCAAGGACGTCATCAACCACAAAAGGACAAAATAATGACCACAGCATGGACTGGGGATCCACTGTACCAAGCACAGACATGCTGGGTGGGGTGTGGGGTTTTTTTAATATTTATTTATTTATCTTTTTATTTGGCTGTGCTGGGTCTTAGCTGCAGCACTCAGGATATTTGATCTTCACTGTGGCATGCGGCATGTGGGACTTAGTTCCCCAACCAGGGATTGAACCTGGGTCCGCTCCACTGACAGCAGAGTCTTAGGGGCCACCAGGGAAGTCCCCATGTTGGGTGTTTTATATCCATTATCTCTTTCTCTACAAAGAGACCTCCCATGCCCATATTCCAAGAAAGAAAACTAAGGCTCAAATGGGGTAAATGATTTTCCAAAACGGGAGCAAACTGCATTTTGAACTCAAGTCCATCCAATTCCAAACCTGTGCTCTTTCCATTATGCCAACTATCTTGAATCAGAAATAAAAATAAAAGGGAAAAAATTCATGACAACACAGCCCAACACAGAGCTTCCTTCATGAGTGATCACTTGATTCAGAGTCTACTATCTGGAGACATCAAGCAAGGAATACAGCCGCTAAAGCGTCTTCTTTATAGTCTCAGGACATCGAGCAAGAATGTCGGTGGGGGGAAAAAAGGAGAAGGGAAGCTGCAAACACCAAGACAGATGCCAGAACTGGAAAGGCGTCGAGCTCGACTCCTCCCTGACCACGCACAGGCTCCTGCACACGACTGCTGCAGGAAGCCACTGGAGCCCGTGAGGGGAGGCACTGCCAAGCCTGCAAGGAGAGACGTCACAAAACAGGAGGCACACGCCACAGCATATGGAATCTCACCAGTCCTTGGGAGCTGCACCACCCGCCCCTGGCCTCCTGGAGGAAGCAAGCAACTTTACTCTGATGGAATGACAAGACCCAGTGGTGTTCCTGGCCTGGACTACAATCAATCCTCCAAGCTCTACCATCAGCAACACCCGGGGGGACTGTGGTCAGGCCCAACAGCACTTCACTGTCCCAAAGCTTCGCCTTGAGTCGCCATCACCCTAATACACGCATCCCCTTTCCAACCACAGTGAGCTCCTCTGGAAGAACGTCTTTGCTACTGGGGACCTTGCCAATCCCACCCGTTCTGAGGCGCTCAGCTGAAGGTCACACTCCTCTCCCAGAAGCAGGGTGGGGCCGCCTGTGCCCGCAGTGGTGTCTCCCTGTCCTGACTGTCAACACTGTCCCACTTAGCGTTTACCAACGCGTCCGTCTAGATGCCCTTAGGACTGATGCATTTTACTCCAATGGTGCAGTCTGGCATGCTGTTCCTCACTCTTTCCTGCAGTTAAATCCAGTACAATACTCACCGACTCTGTTCCAGGTACTGAAGATACAAGACTGATTAAATCCCAGCCCTGCCCAGTGGGACTCACAGTCTGGTGGAGGATGGATAATACAAGACAAGAGTTGTACAAATATACTTATCATAACAGCATACAAGATGCGATCCTAGGCATTAGTACACATCACCACACTCATTTCCTCACATCATTCAGCTCAATCTGTGGCCGTCACGTTTATTTCTTTACTTACAGTCGGTCTGTCCCCGGTAGGAGACCCTGGGACAGGAGCCTTGTCTGTCTGGCTCACTGCTGTGGCCCCAGCACTCCGTATGGGCTTGTGCACAGAAACCCATTCATTCAAAGCTGCATTTCTGGAAGGTGATAAAGAGAGGCAGAGAAGCGCCAGGAACTGTGAGCATGAAGCCCAGCTGAGAGGTCCAGGTAAAAATTCCACGACAGGAGACACCGGAGCTCAGAATTGAAGCAAGAGCGTGGACCTCAGAGGGAAGCGGTGAGGCACAAGCCAGAGGAGAAACGGGAGGAACAAAGGGAAGGGAAGAGATGGCCGAATCAGCAGGGCAGAGCCCTTCACCGTTACCTCGGCGGCTGTTCGCAAAGAGAGGCAGTTTTGTCCTTCGGGGACACGCAGCAATGCCTGGAGCCACTAGTGACTGTCATGACTTGGAGCAGCAGGGACTCCGGGCATCCGGAATCCAGGGATGCGGTTCAACAGCCTACAAGTTACAGAAGAGCTCCCCATTCCCCTGCAACAGTGGATGCCAGCAGTGCTGAGGCCTGGTGATATTTCGGAAGACTCCCTTCCGAAGTTCACCATTTCTACTCACACCTAATACTGTCTTTTGATTAGAATTTGGATCAGAATAGCATTTGCTTGTCACCTCCCATAACCTCCAAAGGAAATACCCAAAGCCAATCGGGCTTTTATTTTAGCTGAACTAAGACTTTTAGCAGACACCAGTGGACTCCTGTTGCTACATATGGCCCCGGGTCTATTTCATGGTCTTCACCAAGTGCACAGAATCAATTCCCTTCATCTGTTGGCGACCCACCCTGACTCATCACTTTCCCTCTACATTCTAGGACCCCAAACTACCCACCCCCTATGCAGGGTAATGAGACACAGAAAGATGAGGCTCAGAGGGGCTCAACAGCATCAGGTGAATGGACAGATGGATGGCCAGCGGACAGAGGGACAGAGACCTTTCAGAACAGAATTTTGGAACCTTGGAACTTCTCAAGTTCACTGAAGAGCTGAAACTCCAATACTTTGGCCACCTGGTACGAAGAACTGACTCATTGGAAAAGACCCTGATGCTGGGAAAGATTGAAGGCAGGAGAAGAAGGGGACAACAGAGGATGAGACAGTTGGATGGCATCACTGACTCAATGGACATGAGTTTGAGCAAGCTCTGGGAGTTGGCGATGGACAGAAAGGCCTGGTGTGCTGCGGTCCATGGGGTCGCAGGGAGTCGGACATTACTGAGCGACTGAACTGAACTTGGAGCTTTCCTCTGCGCCTTGCGCACTTTTCCACAAAGGCAGAGTTGGCCCGAATGTCGACACCCACTGACCGTGCCCATCACAGGCTCCTGTTACAAAGAATGCACAAAAGAGGTCATGTCCCCCAGACTCTAAAGCCTGGGCAGGAAGTCAAGCAGCTGCATGTGATGGAGTGGCGGGAGGGGTGGGAGCTGGGAAGTCAGTGCAGACGAGGGCCCTTTGTCCAGAGGCACCAACAGCGACACCCAGAAGGGCTGCGCCTGCAGTAATGAAATCCGTGGGGCCTGATCCTCCTTCAGCTTCTCATAGGAAAAGTCTCTTAGTCCAAAATGAGTTTACTTATTTTTGCCCCGGCAAACAATTCGTTATTATCTGAAATGTCTGAATGATGACTCTAAAATTTAAGAAAGAAAAAAAGGTCACCAGTTTTTTCTGTTGCAAGAAGCCCAACAGCAGTATATTTCTAAAGAGAAGATTCAAGACACTCACAAGAGCGAGCTCCCACTGTAACCGGAGCAGGCCCTGGGGGCCTTCCCGGGACAGACCCCCCGCGCCCCACGTCCTCCACCCGCCTCCTGTCTGGAGGAAGGCTTTAGCCAGAGAGTAAGTCTAATCAGAGACGTGAGAAAAATGCAAAAACAACAAAGGAAAGTCAAACAAAGCAAAACAATAATAGTTTACCCACTGGACAAAGTCAAGGACCTTCCATTTCTTCACAAAGTCTATAGATACAGCCTGAGCCGTGTCTTTGGAGCTGTTTTGCAGATACTGAAACCGCCACGGGATGGAAGAAAGTAACCGTGTGCTGCCTGCAAGCACAGAGACCCCAGACCAGCTGGAACCGGCAAGTTGATGATGTCGACTCTTGGTTGACTCGCCACCAGCAGAAGCGCTAGCTGTCACCTCTAGGGAAGCAACGGCAGCCACCCTGCCGGTGGTCCAAGCAGCGCAATGAGCTTCAGAGGAGGGGAAGCGAGCCCACCTGCTGCTGCCACGAAACCAGGGGGCAGAGGGGCGGGCGATGCCCAGCACGCCCTGCAGGACGGCCAGGACCACTAGTGGCAGGAAGGAAGCAGGTCTATAGCTGCCCAGAGTTGGCACGGGGAGTGTCCAGGAGCCACATGTGATTCCCACAGGTACAGAAAGTCCTACATTCGAACAAGTTCCATTCCGAGAGTGTGCGTGCAAATACAATTTATTTGCAAGTTCAACAAAGCAAGCTAGCCTGGGTACCCAACTACCACAACTGACTATACAGTACTGCATGATAATAGGTTTATAGTACTTTTCACACAAATAATACATAAAAAAGCAAATACAAAAAAATAGAGAAAACATTTTTTTAATCTTTTAGGAATCGTACAGACATGTGCACTAACTTGCACGATTGGACGTGCCAACACAAGTTGGCATCTTTGAAAGTTTGCAACTTGAAGGGTCATATGTAGGGGACATACTGTGTGGCTAGATCAGGAAGGAACTTTCTGATCTTTACAAAAGGGAAATTTGCACAAACCACTGAGGTTACTGATCCACATGTCTAGTATCCTGGGAGGAGACCATGAGACAACATAAACATAGAGCGTGTGGAATGCCCACACTGCACGTGGTGTGCTCACAGCTTTTTCAACAACAAAGGTATTTAATTTCCAGTCGCTGCTGAGTACAATGCCTGGGTCAATGCCAAATACAAAAGTGATGCAAAATATGGAGATCAGGTTTGAAAACTGAAAAGGTTTTATCATTGGTCCATTTCGTACCTTCTTTAATCCTCCGAACAAAGTGCTAGTCTCCAGGTCAAATTCTCGGTCCAGTTCCTCTTCATGTTCTGACAAGAAAAACAGTGTCTGTTAGTCAACGAATCTAAATAAACTGGGTTGGTTTCATAGGAGAGGCACTAAAAGAAATTGGCACACAGCCTGGAAAAGCTGCCTCTGGACTGAGCTACAGGCATGGAGACGTGTCACACTCCTTCATTTCTGTGACCTCGGTTCCTGAAAAAACGAGGGGCTGATGGCAATGCCCCTTTAACTTGCCATAAAGGTCACAAAAGGAGAGGGATCAAGAGTGAAAGTTCCCAGTGCAGGGGAACACAGGAGGGATGAGGGCAAATACCTCACTTGCACAGATGGTGAAAAAAAGTTTTTGAACAGACCGTGGCACAAAATGATGGTGATCACAGCCTATCGCATAATGCTAACAAGATTACTGATGGAATTATATAATGGTGATACATATGCTTATAAGTGAACAATACAATTGGTTTAAAACAAAAAACATTTAAAAGCTTTCATTCAAATAACATTTAAAGATGAACAAGAACCAGGCACAGTGTGAAATAGTAGGAAGGAAGCAGAACATGACCGGCATGGCTATTGCCCTCCTGGGACTTACTGTATCCTGGGTAAGAGAGACAAATAGTAAGAAATTACAACAATGTTGGTGAATGCCACAACACAGGAGGTAAGGAGTGCTGTGGGGACTGAATCTGGGGTGTCTCTGTGATCTCTCTGGGTGTCTATGTGGGCCTCTCTGGTGGCCTAGATGGTAGAGGGTCTACCTGCAGTGCAGGAGACCTGGGTTCAATCTCTGGGCTGAAAAGACCCCCCCCAGAGAAAGGAATGGCAGCCCACTCCAGTATTCTTGCCTGAAGAATCCCAGGGACAGAGGAGCCTGGTGGGCTACAGTCCATGGGTCACAGAGTCAGACATGACTGAGCAACTAACACACACACGTGATGTGTAATAGGCAGCTGGATGGGCATGGATGAAGCTCAAGAGTGCCTCAGCTGGAGGGAAAGACTTAGAAAAGTCCTCAGTATAAGGGCAGTGATGAAGCCTCCGGAGGTGGCTGAGATCGCCCAAAAGGGCACAGACTGCATACACAAGGGAAAAAAAAAAAAATCCAGTTCTCATCAGACCAACAAACAGACAAAAAACACAGAAGACCATGAAGGAGAACCTAGAAAGATCAAAGGAAACCTGACTTCGTAATCCTGAAATGATGCTGGTTTCGGAGTAGGGTCAAAGGGCAGATGTACACACACACTCGAAGCGGACAGCAGCTGCAGCCTCCAGGGCAGACAGAAAAGGGAGGCCCGTGGAGCACGGGGACCCAGGGCCCCACAGGCCCCAGCTCCAGGACACGCGCACAGCGGACTCCACGCACTGCAGGAGGCGGCGTGGCAGTGTGTGGTTGCCCCGGGCCCCTCTGTTACAGCTGCCCACGTGCCACACTGGGTGTGTATACGTGTGTGCTGGTGTACACAGACTCAAGTCCCGAGAAAACAACCCAGAACCATCAGCGAGCTGCGACAACCCGACACAGCAGCAGGTCCCTCTGAAATCAACAAGAAGGGGGAAAACCCCTCTGCTTTCTTGCCTCTTCTGTTCTGATTTCACTTTCCTACACAGTGCAACCTCCAGAAACATCAGAATTACGCAGAACTGAAACAAAGCAAAAAAACTGGAGTTCTCTTCTTCCAAGGGTACATTCCAAAGCATTGAAGTTTCCACACAAAGCACCAGACTCCTCCCGGTTAGGACACATCGCCCTCTAGTGGGGAAAAAGGGAATCGTACGCGGACAGGAGAATCAAGATGAAACCCTGTCCTGCCACAGTCCAACTGAAATACTACGTGAGACATATTTGTAATTTTAACGTTTTTAGTAGGCACACTTTAAAAAGCAAAAAGAATTTAAAAAGACAAAAATTTAAGGTGAAATTAATTTCAACATGTCTTACTTATCCCAATATATCCAAACATTATTTCAACGTGGAATCAACGCTAAACAATTACACATTCCTTTTTCTTCCTAATCCTTCAAAACTCCATGGACACATTATCTTTACAGCACATCTCAATCTGAAGCAGCCACATCCCAGGACCTCACCTGTGGCTACAGTCATGACAGCATCATCTAGACCAAAATCCTCCCTCAGCTTTTAGAGAATTCCTACCAGTTACCCTTGTCTGATTTCTCAACTCAAACAAACGCTGTATGACATACATTACAACGTGAATCCATTCGTGATACTTTGGTGATCACTGTCTCCAGACTGCCTTGATTCAGCTGAAACGCACTGCTATAGAATTCGGCTGACCTAGGAGAATGGACGCTGGCAAGCTGCAGCAGGAGCTCTTTCTGTACCCCTTTCACCCTCAATAGTTTGATGGGAAGTCAATTCTGGGGTGGGGCAGGAGTAATCAGAGACTGTAATCTAGAAGGGGACGGAAATACATGCACGCACACACCCTCATCTGCCACAAGCCACTGCTACAGACTAGCACGCCCAACTGTGGCTTATCTGTCCTTCAAGCTTCTAGCATTTAAGGAATTCCAATCAGCTCCTACTTCCCCTGTGGCTCAGCCGGTAAAAGCGTCTGCCCACAATGCGGGAGACCCGGGTTCAATCCCTGGGACGGGAAGATCTCCTGGAGAAGGAAATGGCACCCCACTCCAGTACTCTTGCCTGGAAAATCCCATGGACGGAGAAGCCTGGTAGGCTACAGTCCATGGGGTCGCAAAGAGTCGGACACGACTGAGCGACTTCACTTTCACCAGTCAGCTCCTAGGGATTCTTCCTTTCTCGAGGAAGCCAGTGGCTGCAGCAGACTGTGGTAGTGAATGAGAGTGGAGAAGGGAGCGGAAAAGACGGGCTTCTGAAGACCAGAGAATTTAACAGCAAGCAGCTCTTAAATGTGCACACGGACATGACCACAGGCAAGACAAGAGGTGCTGGTTTTCCCATGAGATTCTCCGAGGGCCTGGGCTCCTCCCCTCCTCTAAACCAGTTCCCACCCGGGGAACAAAAAAGTGCTTTAAAAATAGCCCAGGTAAACAGGAATCATACATGTAAACAGGATGCAAAGCAACATAGGACAAAAATGACCTTCAAACCTCCATCACAGAGCAGCTCATCTACAGCTCCTTAGGAATTCTGGGGTCTATCCAGACAGGCATGCGATTTGCATGGGAATCCTTAGGGCTTCTGGGAGAGGCAGAAGCCCCAGCCTGAGATGGAGACGCTCCAGCAAAGAGCAAGTTGTCCTTGTGTTTGATCCAACACGGAGCAACAGCTGAGGAAGCAGGGGGCCTGAGGAGTGAGGCGCTGTGGACTCTAACCCTGAGGGGTGCCTTCAAAAGCCCTCCAGCCCCGCCTGTCCAGAGTCACCGAGAGGTTTATCTCAGGCTCTAAGAAAGCAGATGCTCCGCAGGCCCCCACGAGGCCCTCTCCGTGGTATCAGCTTAGGCAGAAAACACTGGTGTAAGCCTGAGAGGAAGGAGCGGGCCAGGAGGCCCAGCATCCCAGGAGGGAGGCCGGGAGTCGACGATCTGCTACGACCCTGGCCATGAGTAACACAGGAAATTGTCAGCTGCCCAGTCGTGTCCGACTCTTTGTGACCCTCCGTGGACTGTAGCCCACCAGGTTCCTTTGTCCATGGGATTCTCCAGGCAAGAATACTGGAGTGGGTTGCCATGGCCCTCTCCAGGGAATCTTCCCAATCCAGGGATCGAACCCGGGTCTCCTGCGTTGCAGGCAGACTCTTTACCACTAAGCCATCAGAGAGGCCCCATAGAAAACAAAGGTCAAGCATAAGGTCAAGTATAACATGGAGCCCTACCAGCTGGCACGCTGGGAGCCTCAGCTGCGTCACGACACCCACTACCCGGGCTGGCTATCTGGGCAGGCTCGGCCCCTACCAGCTGGCACGCTGGGAGCCTCAGCTGCGTCACGACACCCACTATCCGGGCTGGCTATCTGGCAGGCTCGGCCCCCAGCGGCCCTCTCCACAGGCGGCCAGCTCCCTGGTTCCGAGGGCAAGGCCACCTGTTCAAACACAGGATTGGCAGCCTTCATCCCCATCCTGAACTGGGCCCCAGATAACTAACCAGCCACCTTGCAACCAAACTCCTCTAATCACAAAAGTTAAATGGCAAAAATTACTTCCAGATTGGCAAAGCCCATCCTTCATGAGAGGTCCATGTGTTAAATGAACAACATGAAAGAATTCATCTATAAATGAGCTGCTGTATCCTTTTCCCATAAGCTGGGATTAGTGACAAGTGATGAGAACAGGCGTGCAAAGGAACAAACAAAAGCCCAAAGGTGAATATGCTCAACTATATTTGCATCCCGCTTTAAGAACACCTACTATATATAAATATGTAAAAGAAAGAAAAGAAACTGGAGGCAGTAATTCAACTAATTTGCTCCATATTTGCTTAAATATCAGGGCTCCCTGGTGAAAAACGTTAATTGCTTGTCACTGAAGATTAAAGAAATGAAAATAAAACATCTGTGAAATAACTCAGTAAAAAAGCACAGTTCCTTTTATAAAATGTCTCTAACTGCAACTTTTCAGGAAGATAGCTATTCCATGAGAGGTGAGCCTGGGCTCTGTAAAGCCAAATGACCTAAGATAGCTGCTTGAGAAACTAATCACTGATAACAGAAAAATAGTAGAATTTATAAATAAATCCAAGAGCTTGTTCTTCAAAAAAAGAGAATCAACCTATCAAATAGATAAAAACCTTTGGTAAAGTTCCTAAAACAAGAGAAATGAGACACATGGGATTCAAGACATTCTAAGAATATGATATACAACTGTATGTTAGTACATCTGAAAACTTCAATGAAATTGAAAAATATAAATGCCACCAACTGAAGAAGAAAACCTAAATATACCAAGAATCCTGAAAGATACTGAAAAGTTTTTAATGAATCTACTTAAAAAGAGACTCCATGGCTAGACAAACTTACAAGCAAATAACGTCAAACTCTGATACTCTTTAAGCAGTTCCATATTGTGAGGGCGGCGGGGGA